AAGAGGCGATTCCAGGATGCCCACTCAGGCCATCTAGCTGCAGGGCCCCTGGGAACCACAGAGGCTTGTGCCTGGTGCCTTGGCCAAAGACAAGAGTCCAAGTGGGACCAGCAGGAGCTGTCAGTGGGTGGCCCAACATCATCCCACACACCCATCCCAGCTCTGCCTGGGCAGAGACCCAACACCCCTTACCTGTCCCTGCACGATGGACTTCAGGAGAGCCAGCACGGCGTGCCGGGCCTCTGGTGGCCGTTCTGGTTGCAGCAGGTCAGCAACAGCCTTCCAGAGTGCTTCCACTGCATGCTGCCACCAGCAAAGAGGGGACAGCTATTAGGGTGTGCTGGCCCCTCAACTCAAAAGCAAAGGGCAGAGCAGAACAACAGGATCTTTTGACTTAGATCCTGTGCCACTAAAGCCCACATCTTGAGGATCTGTCACAGCCCACAGCGACCATGAACCTGACAAAATAGCTCCAAGCTACTTCAAAACCCCCATCAGGCCATAGGCTAGAGGAGGGAGGAAGGCACACAAGAGAGAGAAGCTGTCCTGGCTGCCTCCAGAGATCACAGGGAGTCCACCCTACAGCTTCCTCATTCTGATGGAGACCACTGGGAGAGTCTCATAACCAGAGGCACCACACTGGTCCCTTGGCCTGCAGCCTGACTCCCTCTCTGTAAATGCACCAGCCCAGCCCAGGATGAGCCGCTCAGTTGGTTAGAGCATCATCCTGCTAAGCCAAAGTTGCAAGTTCAATCCCCAGTTAGAGCACATACAAGAAGCAACCAATAAATGCGTAAATAAGTAGAACAAATCAATTTCTCTCTCTCTCTCAAAATCAATAAAAAAAATTTAAAAAGCGTGTTAGCCCTGATCAGTGTGACTAAGTTGGTTATCATCTCACAAAGTGAAAGGTCGCCAGTTCAATACCCAGGGCAAGGCAGATGCCTGGCTTGCGGGTTTGGTCCCTGGTCAGGATGTATTTGAGAGGCAACCAATTTATGTTTCTCGCTCACATCAATGTTTCTCTCCCTTCCTCTCTCTCAAAAAAGAAATATTTTTTAAAAATAAAAATACAGCAAGAAATTTAAAAAACATATTAAACACACTAGCCCAGCCGTGGGCCACTCAGTACCACACCCCTGCCCTCTACTGCCCTGCGTGACCTGCCAAGAACTCTCTGCAAGCTTCTGGAATTTGCCTCCTCTAAGTGCACCCAGCCCATGGGAGACCCGGCTCCTGTCCCCTGCAGCTACCCCCAGTCAGTCTCTCTCGTCACCTTCCCTCTTCCACATTAACCATTCCAGACTCCCTTCAGACAGGGTTTTCAGACCATTCACCCTTTCCGGAGCTCTCGCTCACTCTTAGGGGCAAGACTGAAGTGTCTTTTAGATGTTGTCTGACCAATATTTTGACCAACTCCAGACACACTAAAACTTTCACTTTCTTTGCCCTATTTACAATACTCCTATGGATGCAACCGAAGCCACAACAACACAGATGCTGGGCTTGTGGACTATCCCAGCCTCTTAGGCCCACCTGTCTATTCGCATGACCAGCACCTCAGCCCCACCTCACCTTTCTGTACCTATACAGGCAACTTTATGAACGCAGGTGCCTACTGTCACATTCCTCCTTGGCAATGTGCAGCTGGCCCGGCTCAGATGGGCTGCTGAGGATATAGCCGTCACTCTCCCCTTTAGCAGATCTGAATCTGCTAGGTGAGATCCACGTCTCCCCCACCACCCCCAGTCATTCACACAAAAGCTGCTCGAGGCTACAGCACAGAAGTGCTGTAATGATAACTTCCCACTCTGTCCACAGGACGTCAGGAGAGAGCCTGGAAACAGCTGGCTGAAATAAATACATTCGTGTCTGCAAGGCCACCTGAAACTACCGACTACCTCTCCCAAAAAGACAGAGACAGGTGTGCCTTGACAGTTCGAGGTCTCTGTGAGACTACACTCTTCCCTGACATTCCTCTATGTTTCCTTCCCGAGTCCACAGTAACAGGACGAGTGAATGTGAGTTCCTGTAAACCACTATAAGCCCCTTCTCAGATCTGCTAGAAAAGCCTTAATTCCTTTGCTCCCCACCTCCACACATGACCGATTCCTCAGGGTTGTGCTCAGGGCATTTCCAGAAGTTTCCCCACAACTAAGATGAAAGTTAAATCCCCTAAAGTGGTATATTAGTTCCTTAGCAAAGTTAACTGTCAACCCTGCTCCTAGAAAGAGCCAAATCAGGCTTCTGAATAGCTCCCTCACATCCCTCCAGTAGCCCAACTGAGACCGACCTACCTCTTCAAATTTCTTCGTTTTTGCAACTTCAGAGATCTGGCCTATCACACGAATACGATTGTTGAGGCCACATTCAACACTCAGTTCCTGGAAACGGTAAAAGAAGGAAAAGGGGCTTGTGCTCGGGCAACAGGTCTCCTTAACTGCTATTCACTGACCACCCTAAGAACTGGACTCACGTTTCCCAATCTGGAGACTTGCAGCCACCTTTCTGAAATGAGCAATTACCAGTTTACTACTCCATCCCAACTGAGTGAGAACAGACTTTTCCCCCATCACTGCATTACTTTATTTTTTTTTCCACAGATTTTATTTATTTTTAGAGGGGAAAGGAAGGAAAAAGGAAGAGAGACATGATAGGTGGTGGCCTTTTGCACACCCCCTGCTGAGGACCTGGCCTGCAACCCAGTCACATGCCCTCACTGGAAATCGAACTGCAACCCTTTATTTTGCAGGCCCGTGCTCAATCCACTGAGCTACACCAGCCAGGGCACCCAGTATTTTGTGATAACATTCACATCACATGAAACTCACCATTTTAAACCATATGATTCATTTTTCAGTGTATTTACCTCCATAATTACAGAAAATTTCCATTACCTCAAAGGTAAGCTTCACCCTGGCTGGTGTGGCGCAGTGGACTGAGCACCCGCCTGCAAGCTGAAAGGTCACCAGTTTGATTCCCAGTCAGGGCATATGTCTGGGTTGCGGGCCTGGTCTCCCGGTTGGGGGCACGAGAGGCAACCAACTCATGTTTCTCTCCCTCTCTTTCTCCTTCCCCTCCCCTCTCTCAAAAAGTAAATAAATCTTGAGGGAAAAAAAGGAAACCTCCTACCCTTCAGCAGTCACTCCCCACTGCTCTCTCCACCAGAGCCCTGGCAAACATTTTCTGTCTCTGCAGGTTTCTCTATTCTCAATGTTTCATACCAACGGAATCACACATTATATGGGCTTTTGTGATCATTTTTTTTCTTAGCATGTTTTCAATGTTCATCCATGTTGCAACATTCCTTTTTTTGAAAAGTAATACTCCTTCACATGGATGCACCACATTTTGTTCATAGCTGACCCTTGAACAGCATGGATGTGAACCGTGAGGGTCCGCTTACAGGATTTTAAAAACCCACATTTAAGGAGACTTGACTTGAGGTGAACACACAATACAATGTACAGATGGTGTATTACAGAATTGTACACCTGAAACTTATATAATATTATTAAATTCAATTAAAAGATAAAATTAAAACAAATTGAGTTTAAGTGGACCTGTGCAGTTCAAGTATGTGTTACTCAAGGGGCAATTCACCAGCTGATGGACATACATCTTGGCTGTTTCTGAACGGGACACTATCAGAGTGCAAAACCTAGACATTTATTCATAGGCAAAGCATGGTGTCAGGAATGTGGTAGAGGAATTCAAACGAAGACAAAAAATGAAGACTTCTCACAGGGACTCACAAGTTAATGGTATGCACCTGTCCATAAACCTAATCACCTGTGGAGACCATGGAATTCAGGTCTCATGTCGTAAAACAGGTTTCCTTGCATCACCATCTAAATACTAACTCATGTGCAGAACCAAGTCACCAAAGACTGACTTCCTGAATCTCCAGAAAAGACATGTAAGCCTCTGTGGAGCTGGGGACAGCAGCCCCATGCAGACTGTTCCAGCAACCCATCTCCCACAGTTTGATCTGTTGACAGATCAAACTCAGCCTTCCTCGTACCTCCCAGAGGCCAGCAGGGAAGACACCCGCAGCTCACTCACTTTCAGGATTTCCGCTGTGATGACAAACTCCGTCTGTTTGCCCTCTGCAGACCTGGGATTTGGTCTTGGAGTTCCCAGTCCCAAAAGAATCTTGAACTTCTCCTTCAAGCCTGAGTCTTTGCTTGTTGGCTTGGCCATGGTGGGCAGGGACACAGCCGGGGACTCCCCTCCGCGGAGGAAACAGGAATAGAGATCTCAGAAACAACTCCACACAGCTGCCTTGCGCACCTACAGCCACCAGGGAACCCTAGCTCTCTGATGGGCACCTTTCCTCCCACGAACCCTGGGGAGAACTCGACCGCAGCCACGTTGCCCTGGCAAAAAATAAACTTGGGAAACGCCAGGCAGCCGCCCCTGACTCAGTGCATGGGGTGACGGAGGTGAATTGGGGGCGAAAGAACAGTAGCCACGGGGCCCAGGAAGCCATCTCTCTCCTCCATATGTTAAGGATTCTCGCAGGGGCGCGGAAGCAGGGACCTCCTTTCACCCGCCATGACTTAACACGAAGGAGTGCCTGGAGCTCCAGGGTCGTCGGGCTAAGGTGGGCGCGGCCTAGACTCGGACCCAAGACACTGTGGGGTTGGCCCTGCCCCATCACCAAGTAGGCGGGGCGTGGCTGCCTCCCCTCAGCCCCCTCGGGGTCGCACCACACCACGATTTGGGCTTGCACCAGCCGTCGAGGGGCCGCAGGGAACTCACTCCGGGCTGCGGCCGCGACGCACCGGGCCCTCCGCGCGCCGAGCAGAGAACACACCCCCGCGGGTTGAGCACTGCCGCCGGAAGTACGCACTCGCGCAGCAGACGACCCACAGCTGAAGCACGGCTTGCTGGAAGTCGTAGTTCCGAGCTTCCCCGGTTGGAAAGACCGCTGTGAGTGTTGAGTCACATGACAGGCCGCGAAGACCGCCGGGATATGTAGTCCGCAGGAGTTCATCATGAACTACGCGGGCTTGAGGATGGTGACCCGCAGCCAAAGCCGGGGATCTGGGGCTAGGCCCCCGGGGAGTGGGGAGGAGGCCACGCCGATCCAAAGGGGAGGAGAGGTGTCTACAGGTAGCGCCACGACCGGGGTGGGGAAAGGAAGGCGAGGAGGGGGGCAGGGACGGCAAGGGACTGAGGGCTGGGGTCCCGGGATGGCCTCGAGGGCTGCTCGCCGCGCGGGTTAGGACCCGGACCCCGAAGGCGGGAGACCCGGCAGCAGCGAGGCATTTCCTCATCCCCAAGTGCAGTTTCGTTCCCACCTAGCGCCCTGTTCCCAAGAGAAAGGGACAGGGTCCACAGGGGCTGGTCCCGGGCTCTCACACCTCCTCACAGCCTTGTCCTGAACAGGGACGTTTTCCTCGTCCCAATAGCCTGCCCTGGAATGTTCCACTTGTACCAAGCTATCTGTGGGGCAGACTGGCCCAGTTCTCATAGCTGCTTACCTCTCGGAGAGGTCAGGTGTCCAGGTTACCCCTAGCCAGAAGTCCTCTCCCCTTGCTAAAGGGTGCCTCTAAGAGAAAACAGGAAGGGGCATGGCCTTTGTTATGTTTATCCTGTAGTCGTTAAGGGCTTACCGGGTGCCTACCATGTGCCTGAGAGGTGAAGGAGACTGACGGAGCCTCAGCAGCATGTGCTATGGTGATGCCTGCAGGATTGGACAGACAGGGATTCCCATAGGCACCCCAAGAACCCCAGGGGTAGTCCAGGAAAGGAGACCCGCTAGGACAGAAGCATGATGGGAGGAACTCATGCGAGGGATGGGCGGGGGGGGGGGGGGGGGGCGGGGCGAGCTGGTGCCGGTGACAAGTCAAGCCAGGTAGGAAGGAGCTTTGATGCCAGGACAGAGTTTGGAGTTCATTATGAGTACAAGGAAAAAACAATGATTTTTTTTTTTAAGGGAGAGAGAGGGGAAGGGAGGGAGAAAGAAAGGGAGAGAAACATTAATGCCTAGCTGCCCCACACACCCCCCCCACTGGGGACCTAGCCTACAACCCAAGCACATGCCCTGACTGGGAATTGAACCATTGACCATTTGGTTCACAGGTTGGCATTCAATCCATTAAGCCACACCAGCCAGGGTCAATGAAGACCTAAACAGGAAGTGACACAATCAAATTTTGGTCTTACAAAATTTCTTTCTGACAGTGTGGAGACTAGATTGGGGGCATAATGGTGGAGGCTATTACAGTTCTGGTGTGTTAACTTGGACTTGGTGGGGGTGGGGGAGAGGCGGGCAGTGGCACAAGGAAGGCTGACCTGCACTGGGGTGCATGCTACAGAGGACAGCACCCCCAGGTGTAGTGGACACTTATTAAAGGAAAGAATGATAAGAGCTGAGAGAGCAGTTAGGGCAACATTTTATCCTTACCTGTGTTCCCCACTGAAAGAACTGAGTGGCATTTTGTTTTGCAGAAGGAAGGAAAAGCTACCACCCTGTGAAGCGTCAGCGGAAGGCCCGGAGCCTGAATGTGGCCTACGAGGCCTCAGATGATGAGAAAGGAGAGGCAACCAAGCCACTCAAGGTGTCAAGCTGGGAGCCTCAGGACTGGCAGGAGCAGCTGGCAAACATCCGCACCATGCGGAGTGGGAAGGATGCACCTGTGGACCAGCTGGGGGCTGAGCACTGCTATGACCCCAAAGCACCCCCAAAGGTAGGCAGGGGCCCCATCTGCCTGGTAACCCCTTTCTGAACGAGCTGCTTGTCTCCTTTCAGGCCTGTGGCAGGGCACAACCCGATAGCTCTTGGTTGACACCACCCTGAGAACACTGGGCAAACTCGTTTGTCTTACTCACTTGCCACAGGTACCCTTGGCCTGCCACTCAGAAGGCCAGGGGTACCTGTGGTGTGGGGCCTGGTGCTCTGACTGCTGCCAGCACCATGCTGGGTGATAAGGGGCATTCAGTAAGTTTGCTGATAGAGAAAGAAGTTTTTGCACTTCCCTGGCCTGGAGCCCAGTTCTTTGACCAGCGTGATTCTAATCCCAGCTCTGCCGCTGCTGACTTAGGTACATGCCTCTTTGGGCCTCAGTTTGCTTGTTTGTCAAATGGATGGTAGCGTCATTCATGTGGCAGTGACACTACAGCCAATGGCTGCTGCACTGACATTGCACCAGGTGCAGGTCTATGTGTTGTAACAATTCATTAAGCCTCACGGTGTTTCTGAGAAGCAGGTGCTATTATTGTCCCCATGTTATAAATGAAAAGCAGGCCCAGGCCAGACTCTACACACCTGTCCCCCATTTGCCAGGGTGGGTGGGAGGCTGACAGCCCATACATTCCCAGGTAGGTAAAGGGCTTGGCTGGGCCTGGCCCATAGTGAGCAACCAGGCCCCCCCACCATTCTCATCCCTGTCACTGAGAGCAGGTGCGGAGGTACCAGGTGCTGCTGTCATTGATGCTCTCCAGCCAGACCAAAGATCAGGTGACAGCAGGTGCCATGAAGCGGCTACAGGCCTGGGGCCTGACAGTGGACAGCATCCTGCAGACAGATGACATCACGCTGGGCAGACTCATCTACCCTGTGGGCTTCTGGAGGGTGAGCCCAGCCTGTGGTGAATGTGGCCGCGCGGGTTAGGACCCGGACCCCGAAGGCGGGAGACCCGGCAGCAGCGAGGCATTTCCTCATCCCCAAGTGCAGTTTCGTTCCCACCTAGCGCCCTGTTCCCAAGAGAAAGGGACAGGGTCCACAGGGGCTGGTCCCGGGCTCTCACACCTCCTCACAGCCTTGCCCTGAACAGGGACGTTTTCCCCGTCCCAATAGCCTGCCCTGGAATGTTCCACTTGTACCAAGCTATCTGTGGGGCAGACTGGCCCTGTTCTCATAGCTGCTTACCCCTTCCAGGGGTTGCCATTGGCCTGGAAAAGACATCAGGTGGCTGGGGACGGTGGGGGGGTGGTGAGGTGTGTGCAGCTGGGGGCATGCAGGAGGCCAGGTTGGACATTTCGGACATTTCTGGCCACAGGCGTCTGGATGGATGTGAGTTCTCACTGGAGCCCCACCCCCACCCCTCCGAGCAGCCCACAGTGGGCCAGGCAGTGGGACCTCCAGTCTAGGCCCTGGCGCTCCTTGGCCTTTCCTGTTTGCAGCCCACCCCTTCCTTCCTCCACCTCCCCGCCCAGCTGCCTGGCCCTTCCTTTCCTTGCTGAGGCTGCCCACCCACTGTTCCCTTTGTTTACTCTAAGCCTCCCTGGAGTGTGTCACCCCTTCCCTTTCAGAGCCCCAAGAGGCCACAGCACAGGACTTCGGGTGGGCCGATCTGGTGAAAGTAGCGGGGTGGGTGTGGCTGCTTCCCTTAGGCAGTGGTGTGGGTTGCACTGTGTCAGATGGGTTTTAAATAGCCCTGTCTGCTCAGGCACAGGATGGGAACCACCCAGCTGGCCTGGCGGCTAGCAGGGAACCCCAGGCTCCAGCCTTCCTTCCTGAAGGCCCAGGTGCTGCTGCACCCAGCTGCTGAGGTGGCTGGCCTTGCTTAGCGTGCCCAGCCTTTGGGAGTGATAATAGGGCCCGGAGGAACCCAAGCTGCATCCCACAGGCTTGTTATTGGCCCAGACAGGTGGGAGGGAGGGGTACATGCCTCCACTGAGCTTCCCGCAGGCTGCCTGCTGCCTTTGGTTCAGTCTTACTTTGTGAGGGGATAGGAGCAAGCAGGTGCTTCTGAGTATGTCCTGGGCAGGTGACAAACAGCTTTGGGCACCTGTGGTTCCTCTTTGGCCCTGTCCTTCCATGTTGGACCTACATGCTACCTCCAGGACTAACGCCCCCTTCTCTCCATCTTTCAGAACAAGGTGAAATACATCAAGCAGACCAGTGCCATCCTGCAGCAGAACTATGGCGGGGACATCCCCGCCTCTGTGGCAGAGCTGGTGGCACTGCCAGGTGTCGGGCCCAAAATGGCACACTTGGCCATGGCTGTGGCCTGGGGTACTGTGTCAGGCATTGGTGAGTGGCATTTCCCCATGAGGAGGGTGGGGCCAGCTCTGAGCTTACTAACCACTCTCAGGGTTCCCCACAGCCTGTGACCTGTGATCCTAGCTCAGGTCTCATCTACAACTCAGCCCAAAGGGTCAGAAGGTATTCTCAGCACTGAGCTAGGCCTGTGTCACCCTGAAATGAGTACCAGCGGGAGGAGCTCCCATTTGCTGAGCACCTACTTTGTGCTGGGCTCTGGTGATGGACTCAGGGACAGACCTCAACCTGAGGGAGAGAGACATTGCACAGTCCTTACTGGTGGGGTAGAACCATGATGGGGTGTGCATCTAGGAAGACTTCCTGAGGAAGTGATAACAGCCCAAAACTGAAGGGTGGGAAGGGGGCCAAGAGAATGAAGTGTGTTCCAGGCAGAAGAACAGCATCTGCAAAGTCACGAGGTGGTAGACGGGGCCAGAAGCAGGAGGCTCTGGAATGAGTGTGGGCAGATTGCAGTGACGTTGGAAGGCAGGGAGACCCAGGGAGAGGAGGACTGGGGAGGAGGAGCTGGGGTGGAGCAGCCCCCTCCTGGAATCCCTGCCTGGATCCAGGCCCGGCGTACTGGCATCAGAGGATCGCTGTGTGGAGACAGACCCTAGGTCAGGTTTTCTAAGGCTTTGCCCAGAGTTAGGGCTTCTGAGGCCCTAGCAGCAGGCCCAGCCAACTCAGAAACTGAGGCAGGACCTGCCACCCAACCCCATTGCTTCTCTGGGACTCATGGAGGGGGAGCTGGGAGGGGGTGGGGACACCACCAGCTCCTGCAGCTTGTGAAGCCTGCCCCCTGGGGTGGGAGCCTTTTTCTAGCCCTGCCTGTGAGTAGAAGGGCAGCTAGGGGTGGTAGCCCCATGGAGCCAGAACCGGGTCAAGGAGAGGCTAGGCCCCTGCAAGGAGGTATGCCAGCCTCTCAGCAGATACTTGAGCTTATCTATGCAGTTGTCCTTAGCTGCTCTTTCCCAGGAGTGGTCTGGCAGGTCTGTGCTGAAGGGCCCCCTGCCTACTGCCTGACAGGACAGGGCTTTGGGAATGGCAGCCACAGCAGACAGCATCAGAATGCCATCCTTTCTGGTTGTCTCTGGGCCCTGTCACCTGTAGGGAGACCCTAGTAAGAGTAGGACTTGTCTCCCAGGGGCTTCCCCAGAAGCCCCTTGGATGAAAAAGCTGATCTCAGCTCTGCCACCCCACCTGGGTGACCTTGGGCGAGGCATCTGACCTCTCGAGCTTTGGCCAAAAAGCAGGGGAAGCAGTGGACCTCCTGGACCAGCCCACAGGAGGTGTGGTGTGGTGTGACCCTAGGCTGGGCCTCTGGGTGATAGGGAGCACGGTCACCTCCAAGGTCCAGGTAGATGACAGCCACAGCTGGCCTGGCTGCACTCCTCACTTTGTCCTTTACAGGTGCTGCCTCTGCAGGCGATGGCCTCATGCTGGCACCCTCAGCCGGTGGCTGGGCTGAAAGATGCTGCTCCCTGAAGCCCAAAGGAGGGCCCAAGTTCTCTGGGTTCTGGCTACAGGCCCGGCCCTGCCCAGTAATGGGGGTGGTCTGGTGATCCACTGTCATGTCTGTGGCCAGTATTGTGCAGTTCTGGGCCCTCCTCAGATGCTCCATGTGGAAGGCCAGGGAGACTCAGAACCCTCCCCGCCCCCCCACAACCTGGGCTGAAGGTGGGGTCATGGGCAGGAAAGGGCTGGTCTGCTGGTGTGCCCCACGTTCACTGTGCCCTGTCTCCCAGCAGCAGTGGACACACACGTGCACAGAATTGCCAACCGACTCAGGTGGACCAAGAAGATGACCAAGTCCCCAGAGGAGACCCGTGCAGCCCTGGAGGAGTGGCTGCCCAGGTGCCATCGCAAGGGCGAGAAGGGGTTTCCCTCCCTCCCTCCCTCTCCCCCTCTCCTCCTCCTCCTCCTCCTTCTCTTTCTCTCTCGTCACTCACTCATTCTCACCCCCACAGGGACCTGTGGAGAGAGATTAATGGACTCTTGGTGGGCTTTGGCCAGCAGATCTGCCTGCCTGTCCGACCACGATGCCAGGCCTGCCTCAACCAGGCCCTGTGCCCGGCTGCACGGGGACTCTGAAGGCCATGTCTGGAGAGCTGTAGCCGGTTCATAATAAAGTTTGGGGGGTTTGCAGCAGTTGGGACCCGACTTCTGCCCTTGGTAGGGTGCGTGGGCTTTGTGTTCTGTGTCTGGAGTGGAGCTGCCTGAGGGGCCAGGATGTGGGCGTGACACTCAGGGCTGTGTACACTGTGGGTGGGGGTGCAGGAGCCCAGACTGAAGAAGCAGATCCTGCGAGCCAGCTGTAGCCTGCTGCTGGGAAGCCTGCTGGGGACGCTGGGGGCCTAGGCTTCCTCCCTGCCTCAGCAGCTGGCCGGGGGCCCAGAAACAGCCCCTTTCCTGAACTTGGTGCCCCCTGAGAGCCTCCCCTCAACCGGGAGGCCCCACCCCCAGGGTTTACAGAGTCACTGGGCCTCCAGAAGAACACCAGGAGGCCCAGGCTGTGTGCCACAGGGCACAAGGCCTGACCTTTGTGTACCTGCTGGGGGGTTGAGGGTGACGCTGTGCCATGCAGCATTAGGGGCCCAGAGAGCTTCATGAGAGGTGCCAGCAAGGGAGCTGGGCCTCACCAGGCAGAGGTGGGCAAGGGCCTCAGAGTGCCAGAGGGTAAGAGGAGAGCAGGACCCCTAAGTAGGCTGGGGGAGGGGCGAGGGAGCTGGAACTGAAAGGAGTTTGGGTTTAGCTACCAGGTGGATGCATTCAGGGAGGGGAGGTTTAAGAATAAGACCCAGTTTCCAGCAGCTGAGATTTGGGGAGTGGGAGGCCAGGCTGCTGACTTCCTGCCTGGACCACCATCCCCCACCCCTGAGGGCTTAGGAAGGACAGAGGCAGCCAAGGGTGCGAGAAGGCCTGTTTATTCCAAGGGTACAGGTGCGCTATGGCTCACAGGGCTGACGCCAATGTTGGGTTTCAGGGCAGTCTGGGGCCATACCGGGCCGGGGCTCCAGGCAGGAGCTGAGCTCACAGACCGGAGTCACTCTTGGGGTAGCATCTGCACAGCCACACCCCCCAAGCTTGGGGGCAGTGGTGCAGGAACAAGGGGCCTGTCCAGAAGCCACCCTCCTCAGGAGCAGGAAGCCTCCATCCTCGGGCCCCTCGGAAAACCCAGGCCCTGCACCCTAGACCCCTGGTGGTGGGGACCAGGGCCTGGTCTAGTGAACCCCCATGCCACACAGGGCAAAGATGGAGCTCAGGGAAAAAGCTCTTACAGCCACATCTGGCCTCCCCACCACCTCCACACTTCAGGCTTCACCCGAAGCCCCTCAAACAGCTTGCCCACCCCTTCTCAGTCCCAGGAAGTCCCAGGGATTCCCACCCAGGATGGCTGCTGCCAAAGAGGGGGTGGGGGAGGAAATGGTTTGTAGAGAAAGGTTTGTTTTATTGCAATTATTTAGAGAGCATGTCCTGGTGGGGGTGGGGGCTCTGGTATTAAGTGGAAACATGTGTCGAGCTGGAGCTCTTGTTGGAAAAAAAGCAAAACCACAAATTCCTTTAAGTCAGCAGGCCCAGGCAGAGCAGCAAGGAAGGGCCTGGCCCCTGGGGTCACTCCGCCGCCCCTCCCTTTCTCAGTGTCTCTCTCACATACTGGGGGTTCCCTCTCCCCAATCTTGCTGCCACATTCCCTCAGCACCCACGGTAAGGGGCTCAGGACAGGGACTCACTGAGACGTGGGTAGGTTCCCGGGTGGTGGTGGGACCACCATGGCTTCTGGGAGTGAGGATGCACCTCCTCCAGTCCACTGAGGCTTGGGGAACTCTGGTCTGGACCCAAGGGGTGAGACCCAAAGTCCATGCAGGGAAGAGGCCCAGGTCCAGCAAATGGGTAGGGAGGGACTCAGAAGTTGCTGAAGATCTCACGCTTCCTATTCCAGTCCATCTGCGGCGCCCGCTTGTTGACCCGGGTGGCTCTCGCCTTCTCCTTGGCCTCAGCCGCTGTGGGGCTCAGGTGGAGGCCACTCTCCTGAAATGGGTCGTGCTTCCAGGTGCTGCCATCCTGCGGGCGGGCAGATGGCAAGAGTGAGCCCTGGACCCAAGCCCCCAAACTTGGATCCTCCCCAAGGAGCTCACACCAGAGGATACCTAGTGGGGCTGAGGCAGTGGGCCCTGGAGGGCTTCCTAGAGGCAGAGGCCCCACTGTCCAAGTTGAAAGTTCCACAAATACCCACCCTAAAGGCCTCTCTGGCCCGCCCCCAAAAGTGTAAGCACAGCAGAGGAGGTGGGTGGACATTCGCTACCTCATTGTCCTTGTCTAAGCCAGGTAGATCGCTTCGGGATGAACACGCTGAGACACCATTGAGCTGGGAAACCAAGGGCAAGGTGTAGCTTCAGGGGTCCTGCCCAGAGTCACTGGTGTACACACATGCACACGCACATACATGAGCACGCACCAGAGCTGTATCTGTGCCTCCATTCGGCAGTGGGCACCAGGCCTCCACGCTCCAAGCCCATTGCAGGCAGGACTCTGGGCACTAAACAGTGAATGGGCAGGTGGCCCGCCCCTGGCCAAGGCACAATAGGGAGGGGCGATTCTGATGCACGCACCGCATGCGAGCATCCCCTGGGGCAGAGCCAGGGACAGCTTCCCGAGGACAGACTGTGACTCCAGGTAACCAGGCAGTGCTGAACAGAGAGAACAGCAGGGGCAGCAGGCCCCGGGCCGGAGGCGCCTGCCTGCCGTGTGGCTGGCTCAGGACAGAACCCGTAGGGGGCATTAAAGCTGGGAGTGTGGGGGCCCGATTGGGTGTCACAACCTTGAAAATACAGAGAGGTGGGCGGCTCTGTCAGGCCTGGAGACCCCCAGAGGTGCCCCTGTGGCTCCTGGACCCACCCTCTCACCTGTGCAGGGCTGGTCCCATTGGTGACTGGTGACGGCAGTGGACCTGTGGAGACAGTGTATCAGTGGCTGCCCGGCCCCCCTTACTCCGACCCATCCCAGGCCCCCAGGGCAGCAGCCCACCTTCCACATGCTCCTCGGTGGGTGTGACCCGCAGCCTCTTGAAGTGTTCGTCTGTTTCAGGGTCCACTACCAGTAGCCGGGCCTCATCCTCCCGCGCCTTGATGCTGGCGACCACCTCTGCGTGGCGCAGCCCCTCCACATTCTGCCCATTCACCTGCCGCCAGCAGCATGGGGACAGCACTGCCTGAGGGCAGGCCCCACCAGCCCCCCAAGCTGCCTGGCCAGGTGTGGCATCAAATATTCATCAATGTTGTCACCAGCCGCGGCGGCAAGAGGAATGCCAGCTCAAGTTCCCAGAAACTCCCCTCCTCCCAGGGAGGACCTGGGGCCCAGACACGAACATGCGGGGGACACAGGCACAGACATGCAGACGGGGGCACAAGCACACAGGGCACCTGACACCCCAAGGCCTCGGGGATGGGTACCTCGATGAGTCGATCCTGGGCACGGAGGCCAGAGTGGGCGGCGGGCGAGCCCAGGTCCACCGAGCGAATGTACTGTCCTGGCCGGGACTTGTCACTGTGCAGGTTGAACCCGTAGCCCTGGGGGCCCTTTACCAGGTGGCAGAGCCTGGGACGAAGCTCCCTTGCAGGCCCATTGACATCCTGCAGAACATGGGACTCCGGGTCAGGCTCCAGCTCTGATCTCTCACCGCCCCCGGAGGCCACGGACACCACCCCGAGGCCTCTACCCCACCCCCTGCAGCACAGCAGCGGTTGTGGGCAGCAGCCACCACTGGGCACGGCTTCTCACTGGGCATCAGCCCCTGCCCAGGGGCAGAGACAAACGCTGTGCACCCACACCCGGGGGCCCCATTCGGCTGCCTGTGACTGAGTTCCGGCCCTGACATCTTGGACAAAGCCTCAGCTTCCAGTCCCCACAAGGACTTCTGATGGGCCAGGGCCTTAGGGGACGTTGGAAGAATTAACAGGCTCAAGGATCAACAGTGCTGAGCACAGGCCAGAGAGGCCAGGCGAGACCAGCTGCCACTCATCTAGATGTCGAGGACGGCTGTCCTTGTGGGCCCTGCCTGCAAGCAGCCCCCTCCCTACCTCCCTCTGTGAATGTGGGGCTCGCAGGGTCCCGGGCTTGGGCAGTTTTGTTTTCTCTCCCATAGGGCTGGCAGCAGTGCTACTGTGTTTGCTTTCACATTCCAGAGCAAGCTGGAGCCACCCCCATCTCCACCCCAACCCTCACCAGAGGCAGAGGGATGTCGGGCTGGGGCTTCGGGGCAGGGGCTGCGGCAGGAGCCCAGGGAGAGGGCCGAGGGAGGGGCCTGCCCGCCTGCCCTCCCTTCTGAGACACAGAGGCCTATGATGCCCTGCGGCTCCCTCATCAACATCCCAGGGCCCTGCCATGCTTTACCTCTGGCATCCTGCAGTAGGGTTCTGGGCCAGGGAGCTGTGCCGGCAGGGGCTGGGCCCCAGGACCCCCACCCAGCAGGAGCCTGGGGCAGTCAGTGACCACAGTACTGAGTGGCCAGCGGCTACTGGTGCTCAATTAAACATGGCGGTGGCCTGAGTGAGCAGGAAGGCAGCAGCTCAGGTTTCCCGGGAGGCTCGGGGCTCAGGTGCATGTGCAGGTGAGTGTTGGGGTGGGAGTGCTCGCCAGGCCCCTCCCTTACGGGTGGTGGAGGGATCTGAGGCCAGGCTGGGGCAGCACTGAAGGGAGGCCCCTCGGCCTGCAGGGAAGGTCTCCAGGCCCTGGGCCCCGCCCCCACGGCAGCCCAGGCCCCCTCCTGCACCACTCCAGCCTCCAGGCCTGAAACCTGGTTCCAAACCCCAAATCTGACTGTGAGTATTCTGCCTGCCAGTTGGTGGCCACCCAGCTGTGGGAGCAAGAGTATCTTTCCTCACAGAGTACAATCCTCGCTCCTCGCTCCTCGCTCCTCGCTCCTCGCTCCCGGGACGGGGCCTTCCTACCTGTTGGGAAAAGCTTCTTCCTGCCAGCCCGTGCCCCTCCTCCAAGACCTCTTCTCTAACCCCCAAAGCCTGTTCAGAACTCCCTGGGGACCCTTGCCCCAGGCTAGCACCTAGCCCCATAACCCCAAGATCTCCAGGGACAGAGCTGCTGCCTTCAGTTCCCTGGGGACAGGGCTGAGCATCATGGTCTGAACTGGGGGAGATGTAAGCCCCCAAGTTCTCCACAGCTCTGCCATACAGGCTCATGTCCTCTCCCAGACGAACCTGGAAGTGCAGGTGTTCAGCTCTGAGGAGGGCCCACACCTCCCCAGAGCCCCCTCAGGCACCGGCTGTCAGAGCAGGGGCCCCCAAGGCTGACTGGAACAGGGCCGCGCGTGGGACTGGGAAGTGTGACATGACCACACCTGGAATGTGGACATGGGCCCAGGCAGCAGAGGCACAACCCATGGTCAGAGACCAGACACCCAAACCCAGGCTCACAAACACGCTACAGGACACACAAGGCGACCCACACCTGTGACGGGACAGCCCGGTGGTACGGGTTGTGGCCTCCTCCCACGCCCTCCACGGTAACCTTCAGGGCAGGGGCTGTTGAGGTCCCAAACGGGAAAAGGACTGGGGGGAGGGCATCGACTTAGGGGGCATCCTGGGCCATGAGGCCAGGCTGAAGTCACATCCGGGTTCAGGACCACACTGGCCTCAACCCAGCACAGCTGCCTCTCATTGCACAAGCCGAGGTTTCTCCGTCTGGCCTAAATCCTTCTCCTTACAAGAGCCCAGGTTCCACGGAGCACCAAACCTAGCTCTAGACCCTCACGCCGAGGGGCTGCAACGCAGTGACCCAGCAGGGAGGCCCTGCAGGAGGGCAGGCGACAGTGGGTTTGGAGGGGGCGCCCGCGCATTGCTCACATTCCTCACTCCCTGCCCTGGCTCAGCGCACTTCCTGCCATCTCCCAGCCAGGCCCCCGGGCTCCCACGGCTCCCACGGCTCCCACGGCTCCCAGAAGGTCCGCCCCAGAGCTGTACAAGCCCTGTCCTCCCAGCCGTGCCTTTAACTAGACAAAGAGGCTGGCATGGGGTACCCCAGGAGCCAGGCTGTGCCCCCTCAGGTGGTGACTCACCAGCCTTGGCAGAGAAAGGCCCCATTGTCGTTCAGGGTCCAGCCTGATCACACCAGGGTCCCCTCTCCTAACCCTGGGGTACACGGGCTAAACTAGCTGTTAGGGTTCTCACTGCCCACCCTGCCCTCGCCCCACCTAACCTGCACAAGTCCTAGGGATGGGCTCCGTGGAGGGGCTCCTGGGACTGGGGCACGTGGTGTGGAATTCCAGGAGTGGGCCATGGAGGCAGGACAGAAGTGGCAGGCGGTGAGCATCCACCTGGAGTGGCCTGAGCTCTCTGGCTGGCCCAGGCTGCCACATTTATCCATCTCCCACTGACACCCAGGCTCCCCAGGGACAGGTGGGGACATGGGGCTGAGTCACTCAGGGGAACAGGGTGGTGGCTGAGCACAGCCCCCCTTACTGAGGCTCCAGCCCGGCGCCCCCCCCCCCTTCCCACTGACTAGGTTTCCGTCCCAAGAAGGGAAGGAAATTGCTGCAAGGCCCTGCCCTGCTCCCAGGACCCAGGGCTGGGGAGACATGGAAGCAAGGGAGGAACCCAGGCCCCAGGAGAGAAGAAAGACCAGTCTGCGGAAGATCACAGGGCAGCGGCAGAGCAAAGAGCCCCAGGAGCCCGCTTGCAGAACAAGGTCCTATGCCAAGTAGTCACCCCTGCAGGACTCTGGTCACCTCACTCACTCTCACCCCGCAAGGACCCCCCCAACCAGAGGCTGGGGGCACAGGCTTCTCGTGAGAAAAGAAAGGGCCCAGGGTCTGTTAGTGCCCCCACCTGGCACTGCTAGTTGCTAGCTGCCCTGGCTCTGTTTGGGGCCTGTCCCCTCTCCCCACTATCAGCCCCTGTCTGGCCAGGGGCTGAGTCACCACCTACAAGGCCCTGAAAGTCCTCTAAGGGAGGGGCTGGCCCCACCAGTGTCCTCCCCCATGTCTCCCCCCACCCGCCCCCTGCTCAGCCCCAGGGCAGGAGGTAAGTGAGTCTGAGAAGGCATAGGGCGCTCCACCCTGCACGAGAGCAAAGCACACACACATCCTGCCTGGTCTCTCCTGCCCCTTGGAGCAAAGCCATGTGAGTGTCGTCCCCACCGAGGCCCAGCGCCTCCTTCTGAGGTTCTGAACTCAGCCCAACAAAACTGGGGGTCTTGGTCTTCTGGGCCTCCCCTGACCTTCTGGGGTCCCATGCCCCAGGCTAGCCCCGGCCATAGAGAAACCTGTCATTCAGGTCTCCCTCTGTTTCTCTAAAAATACACCCACAGGAAGCCCCCTCCCAGGGCTTCCTGCAGCCCCAGAGCCTGAAATAGCAGAGGGGGAAGGCTCCACCCAAGGACAAGGTGGGTCACCCCATCCTGAAGATAAGGCCTGAGGGTGAGTTTTCCACAGGAAGGTGAACACTGGCATTTGTGTCCAAATCAATGGACACATGCCTGAGGGGGGGCATGTCCTGGCAGGGGTGCAGGAGGCCCAGGAAGGAGGGAGCCTCCCACGCACCATCCCAGGACCCCTGATACCGCGGATCTGAACCTACCATCCCCTAGTCCAGCCTTCAGTGGCCCCAGGGCAAAATGCAAACTACAGGGCCTGGCACCATTGCCCTGGGACCACCCTCCTCCTTTTAGAACAAAAACCTCAGGCCTGTGCTCAGGCAGATGTTGGGATCCCCTGCATTACCCAGAAACGTCAGCTCTCACATCTCCGGGGAACCCCTGGGCTTGAATCCCCTAAAGGGCTTTATTTTTCTTTGAAAATAAAAAAGGGAGCCCGGACCAGTGAGGCTCAGGCATCGGTTGGGCGTCACCCTGCAAAGCAAAGGGGCGCAGGTCTGATCCCTGGTCAGGGCATGTGCCTGGGTTGTGGGTTCATCCCCTACATGTGAGAGACTCCCAATTGTTTCTCTCATGCATTGATGCTGCTCTCCCTCTCTCCCCTCCTTTCCCTCTCTCTAAAAGTAAATAAATAAAATATTTTAAAAATAAAAAAGGCAGAAAGGACATGAGAGACAATACCACGGGACCTTCAGGAGGGAGGAACAAGCAGCCCCAGGCGCTTCCTCCTGGCCTCCAGGTGCTTCCCAGGTAGGATCACCTCTCCCAAGGGATACGCCCTAGGCCAGGGCCCCCAACCCCCGAGCGGCAGACCAGTACTGCACTGTGGCTTGTTAGGAACCCAGCTACAGGAACAGCAAAAGGTACGCCTCAGGCACGCGACTACAGCTTCACTCTCATCACCACCTGAGCTGTGCTTCCCGTCCCCGAGCCCCCCAGGGGAAATTGTCTTCTATGAAACCTGTCTCTGGTGCCAAAAAGCTTTGTGACCGCTGCCCTAGAACAGTCCCCTACCCCATGAATTCTTTTTCAGCTCTCCAGCCTTGGGGCAGAAATGGGGGAGATGCCCCAACTCCACAGACCATCAGATGAGGACTCAGCTTAGAAAGTCTCCTCAGCTGCCCCCAGCCACACACCGCCCACAGAGGAGGACCAGCCCCTGTTCCCCAAGGCCTTCAAAGAACAAGCAGACAGACACAAGGACAGAGCCACAGACACAGGCAAAAGAGCTGGACATCCCAGCAGCCCATCCCCGGGCTGGGTTCCTGAGCCCCTAGACCGGGGAGGGGGCCTCGTCAGAGTGGCCTCTTGCTAGATCAGGTGGCTCCGAGCATTCCGGAAGAGGGCCAGGGGCTGAGGATCAGGCTGCCCTGATCCTAACCAGCTTAAAACAGACCGAGGGCAGAAAGAGTGTAGCCAAGAGGGTAGTCATCAGGGGCAAAGAAAGGCCCTGAGAAGCAGCAGAGTCTGAGAGAGTGACTTCTGGAGGTGACCAGAAACAGACTTGTCAAGAGACAAGTTCTGGCCAAGACAGTTCTGGAAAAAGCCAGAATGGCTTTTGGGCAGAATCTTCCATACCTTCTGGCCATCCTTGGAGCCAAGGCTGCCTGCATGTGTCCAGACCGGCTTTGGCTCCCAGAGGTCATGGGCAGGTGGAAGACCTTGCTGGGCCATCTCCTCAGTGCAGGTCAGCTGCCGCCGGCGCAGCTCCTCGTCCGTCTCCTTGTCTACCACCAGCAGCCGGGTCTGCCCTTCCACAGCCTTGATCCTCTGCACCACCTGGGACAGGCAGGTGGGAGTGGGTCAGCAGCCAGCTCTCTGGGCAGCACATGGACAGTGGCACCACTCAAGGCTGGCGTACCAGGGGTGGGTGGCTGGACCAAGAGGCCCGTTGGCTCCACCCCTTACCCCCAGTCTCCAGCAGTCCCTCCCTCCTCTGCTGGGGCTCCTGATACTGGCGCCCAGGCTGCAAGAGGTACAGTGTGGTCCCAAGGCCTTGCCTCAGCCCAGGCTCTTCTCCAAGAGGAGATGGGAAGCTGGGTGAGGCAGCTGTGCAGGTATGCTCCTATCTATTCCAGGGTCTGTCTCTCAGTCCAGGTTTGAGAGAGAGAGTGTCTCCTGGCTGTCTGTCTGGGCGTGACTGTGCCCATTTCTGTCCTTCTCAGTGGTAGAGCATGGAAGCCTAAACCCCCGTATCTAGGCCATCCATTCCTGTCCCCCCCCTCCTGATCACAGAACCATCCCTGCTGGACCTGCAAAAGGAGAAAGCCCTGGGTTCTTGGCAAGGTACCTACTCAGGAACCACACATGCAGCAGGATTCAAACCCAGCAGGTGGAGGCAGGGAGGGGCAGGATCACCTGTAGGACAAGTGTGGCATGTGGCCACCCACACATCTACGCAGGTGCCTATGAAGTATCTGGAGCATGTGGGTGGCCACAGGGCATGCATGCCAGAGTGTGCCTTGCAGGAAGAAGGAGCAACTGCCCACTTGGCACTGGGGTAGGAAGGGTAACGTCCTCATCCCCACCCCAAAGCTTGGGGGAAGGCAAATGAGAGGCCCCCATCAGCTGCTCGGCAGAAATTGTCAATGGAGAGGAGGGTCTGAGCCAGCCCCATGTTTTCCCCGGTGCTCCTCTGCCCCTCCTTTCTCCCTGTGCAGCCCGACTCTAGCACCCGACTGCTTCCCGACTCTGGTACCCAAAGGAGTCACTCAACATCTCCAACATCAGTTTTTTCATCTGTAAGATGGGAGCTGTAATTGCACGTCCTCCCTGCCGGGGCAGTGAGAGGGTTCCATGGGGTCCTGCGCCAGAGGCCTAGGACAAACAGGGGTGAGAGTGGCAGCACCTGTTAAACAGTGGCTAGGTGCCAGGCCTGCCAGCCCCTCCCGGTGCCCTGTCAAGCCAAGCCCTCTGGCCCTGATGCCCATCTTCCTTCAGTAAACAGTCTTATCAGGTTGACATTCTGGGTGGAAGACAGGAGAGCAGACAGATGGAAGGACAAGGCCCATAAGTTCTGCTCCCGGGCCATCCATGGACCAATATATTAACCTCTAGGCCCCGGGGCCAGACACTCAAATAGTCATGGACGCGCAGGTGCTGTGGAGACAGAGGAACCTGAGCAGGAGTGGCTGTACCCAAGCCAGGTGAGTCACCAGCCAGTGGGAGATGGACACCCCCAGGGGTCGGAACCTGTGGAGACAAGGTACACTGCCCTCCCTCTGGCTTTTATTTCCAGCTGCAAAAGGCAGGGACTTCGGCCTGGTGACCCCGGCAGGGCAAGGCAGCCCCTGAGGAGAGGAATGTACCGCGACCAGCAGTGATTCCACTAGGACACAAACACCATCGCCAGGACACCCACGAGAACACCGACTGCCGACACACACTTATGACTACACACAAGCAGGCTGGTCAACACACATGCCTGGGCACGCACACACACACACAGTGCAGCTCACACACATCCAGGAGTACAGATCTGTCCACACACACACACACACACACACCTGGGGTGCAGACCTGTACATTTACATGCACAGTCCAGCCCACACACACTCACGGATGCAGGCACACACAAGGGTGCCCTTACTGTGACACATAATGCGCACATGGGTGACCCCCCCAGAGGGACCTGCACACTCACATACATACACGGTGTGTACACGTGTGCGTGTACACATATAGAAAACACCCAGGGCACCCCCTTGCGCCTCCCCAGGGTGCCCCGCAGCTCCATACTTGGTGCACTGAGGCCAGAGCAAGCCTAAAGACCCAGAGGTGAACTGAGGAGCCGCAGTGCGGGCTCCTCCCTGCCAGGATTTCCCTCCGCGGTGCAGGACTGAGCTTGGTGGGAGGGTGCTAGGAAGGAGGCCGGCGGCCGGCGTTGCCTTCGTGGCTACGTCCCCCCACCTCCTGGAGCAGGGGGCACGCAGGCCCTGGTGCGACCCCCTTCTGGCCTGGAGCACAGAGCTGAGGCCTGGGAGCAGGCACCCACCTGGTGATGCGTTTCGCCCTCCACGTTGACGCCGTTGACCTCGACCAGGCGGTCCCCCGCGCGCAGCTCTGCCGCCTCGGCCGGGGAGCCTGGCTCCACGCGGCGAATGAACTGCCCGCGACGACCCTTCTCGCCGTGCAGGTGGAAGCCGTAGCCGTGCTCGCCACGCACCAGGCAACACAGGCGAGGCCGCAGGGGCTCTGGAGTGGCCATGGCGCCGGCTACCCACCAGCCAGGCACAGGCTGGCCACGGCACTCACAGCCACCGCCAGCAAGCAGGGGCACGGGTGACGATGGAGATGCGGTGGCAATTCCTGCTGCTCCGGTTGCCGCGGCTCCAACCGGGCTCCCGTCGCCTCGGGCTTGAGCTGGAGCTACGGCGGTGACACCGCCCCCGCACCGCCCCTTCCCCGCCCCCTCCGCCCCCTCCCTGAGTCCGAGCCATCCTGGCCTCGCCCCTGTCTCGGCAGCCCGCCAGCTCTGGGGAGCCCAGGGGAAGGCAGATGACAGAGGGTTCGGAATCACTGGGAGCCCCTCTGTTTGCCCGCCCCCACTCTGGGCAGCCTCGTTCCCGTCAACACCTTTGCCTCCTACTCCAGGCACATTGATTGAGCACCTACTGGATGCAGGGCACTGCACCAAAACAGGGTCTTAAGGTGGGAGAGGGATAGAGGAAAGGGTCCTAGGGCTTAAGTCCCACACAGGGGACAGAGGGTAACACACCTACAGCTCTGCCCACCCTTCTTGGAAAGCACCACTAGCACCGCTGTCCATGTATCTGGATCCCCTCTGCACGAACAGCTGCTCTGGCTCAGCTCAGAGATCCAGAATTGTTCAGGGGGCAGAAAGAGGGGTTCGAAGGTAAGGTGACAGCAGCCCCTCCCAATCTACTGGAGGTCAGTGACTGGGGGACTCCCTGGCCCTCCCCAGGAGTGTTTGCCCTGATCTGTGGTGTGTGTGTCTATTAACCATTCCCCCGCCACCCCTCCCGTGCCAGGGCCCCTCACTCATGACCATCTCCATTGTTGGTGACTGAAAGGTAAGAGGGTGAAGTAAGGAAATGTGCTTGTCTGGCTGGGATGAGAGGGTCTTGTCCTCCCTCCCAATCCTGACCTGGGATGAAATGTACTGCAGACTCTGGCCTCTGAGTGCCGGCCTGTGGTCAGCACTCACAGGAGTTGTTTCTATGAGCAGGACCCAGGGTATCTCCCCTCCTCTGCCCCCATCTCTCCCCACCCCTCCTGGAAGCAAGAGCTAACCCTTCCCCCAACCAGACAGTAATCATCACAATGGAGAATCATTTATCCTTTGTCGTGCCTCAGTGCATTTTATTTGTAACAACCCCAGAGGCTCAGGCCATTTTACAGACCAGGGGACTTAGTGTGGAGAAGGAAAAGACCCAGGCCGGGTTCCCCAGTTCGTCTTGGGTCCAGGACTGTGAGATTCCAAGTCCACGCTCTTCACAGCCACAGACAGAAAAAAAAACCTTAATGGCTTCAGGCTCCCCCTTAATGTATACCCATCCCCAGCACATACCTGGTCCCCAGGAGTCAGGCACAGCCAGCCCAAACAGTTCCCCATGAGGGGGTAGGAGCGGGCTCTGCTCAGGCCCAGTCCTTGCTGCTACTTCTCTCTCCAGTGCACTCAGCCTGGGCTCCCAGCCCTTACCCAAGCACAGGGCCCGCCCATGGCGGAAGCCCCTTGGGTATCCTTACCCTAGCTGCTGCCACTTAGCTGCTGCCCCTAAAAGTCACTTAGGCCAAAGCTGCATGGTTAGTCCCCACCCACACCTCTGAGTTCCCGGCTGATGCTGCCATAGGCTCTCATCTGGCCGCCCACCTCCATCTGTCTGTTTACTAGTCCAGAGGCGGCCTCTCTAGACCATGACTGGCTTTCCTGGGCTCAATGGGCAGTAAGGATGGGTGTGGGCAGTGAGGTCCACCATATACCACCCCAAAGGGTTATCCCAGAGCAACGAGGATCACCCAAGGCCTGCCAGTCTGTAGCTTTGGGGTCACCCAGTTGAGGGAAGTGGCTGAGTGGGAGACCACCAGACAAGTTAGGGGCCCCAGGTTCCCTGGGTCAGAATGCTTGCAGACCTTCTCCCTACTCCTCTGGATCTGCCTTAGGCCCTTTTACGTTCCATAGCAAAGGCCTCAGCCTGTGAGTGAAGGCTGATGAGAACACAGCTGGAGGGAGGGCTAAAAGGGCATGTGGTCACAGCCAGGGGCCAGGCACAAACACTGCATCTCAGAATAACAAAGGAGGCCCCGAGGCCTGAGAAATACCAGGGAAAGTAACAGAGAAACAAAAGGGGGTGGACAACAACAACAAATAAAGGTCCGGAAAGAACTACAGGTAAAAATTCCAAAGGGGGACAGACATGAGTGAGAGGGCACAGGGTCAGTGTGTAGGGCCTGATGAGAGAGATAAAGGCAAGAAGTGTGGACTTAAAAGGGTCCAGGGTTTGTGAGTTATTTGTGATCGCTGGAGAAGGGGCAGGGGCGGTGGGTGTGAGGCGGGCAACAAGGCGGGAAGGAAGTCAGGTCTGCGGTGGTCTGAGTGATCCCCACCCCCACGCCTTCACCCACTCCTGTCACCTTGGTAGGATAGGCAGATCTTTCGGGGCTCTCCTCCCCTGGGGAGTCGGATGGTCCACCTTGGGTAAGGAGGAGGCTTTCCTGAGCTTGGAGCCCAGCTCCCTGCAGCAATACCCCAGCGATGGGCGGAGCCTGGGCCTGGGCGGAGACTTAGGGTGTGGCAGTGGGCCGAAGCCTCATCTCAGAGGATGGGTGCGTACCCAGCTATTTGTCCGACGTCCGGGTAAAGGCCGAGCGCTTCCTCGGCCGGCGCTGCCTCCCTCCCTAATGGGCTTTAATGGCCCCGCGGGGTAACCAGGACCTCAGGCTTATGGCTCTTCCCTCAGACGACACCAAGCCTCTCTTCTGAGCCCGAAATTGGAGCAGGCGGGCCCAAGGTGGCGAGAAGAGATCAGAAGAGAGAGAAAGAGAACAGGAGAACCCCAGTACCAAAGAGAAAAAGGCGCGGGAAACCCCTGGAGGATTTCTGGGCGGCCGTGCCCCTCCCACCTCACTCTAGCCCCGCCCTCGACACACCCCAATCCCACCCATTGCCGGAGGGGTGGAGCGGGGCTGTTAGTCCAGAGGCACAGGCCCACACTGCCACCTGCTGGCTCTGGGTGAGATTGCATTGCCTTGAGGGCTGCCCCAAGGCCCCACCCCTCCCGCTCCGACTTGGTCCAGCCCTACAGAGTGAGGACTGGAGTGAGGTCGGAGCCCTAGCGCTGCTAGCAATACAGAACATAGGGGTGCTACGACGGTGGTAGGCCAAGAAGCCGAGCCCCTAATCAGCTATGCTTCCTCACCTTGGACCTAGCACCAACCTCCTGGACTGAGGTAACTCAGGCAACATGAAATCTGGCCTTTCACCAAGTGTGCCCAAATATCTGCTGACCCCTTGGTGCCAAATGCTAGCAAGGACTGGGGAAACATTTCTGAGACTCATGCAAACAGGGATTTCTGTACCTTGGCAAGTCCAGGGTTTGGGGCAGCCCCAAGGAGGGACATTGAATCCCACCTGGAGCCCAGGGTGGACCACCCCTTTCGGGGTGGACCATGGTGCTGGAACCTGCCCAGAGTGTTTGCAGTCTGCGTGGGGAGGGACAGAAGGAAGGAGCGTGAGAGACAGGGAGCCATTTTAGTGGGTACTGGGTATGAAGTCAGAAAACCTATGGTTTGAAAGGTCAGGTTTGAGGAGGAGCAAGGGCAGGAGTGGGCTCAGTGGGGTAGAAAGAGGACCTCAAGGGGTCTGGGTCCACCCCTTCTGCCAGTGCAGGTCCTGGGGCAAAAAACAAAAACAAAAATACACCAACCTGGGTGGAATCAGAGTAAATAAATTTAGGGTAATAACTGAGAGAATGGAATAAAGATGAGCACCCACATTAGGGGACCAGGTGCATAGGATGCATCCAGGAGATGAGAAGGAATTGCCAGTGAAGAGAAATGAGGACTTTGAGAGGCCATGGGGGCAGTGTGGAGGCTGGTTCCACACGGACATCCCAAAACAAGGCAGACAGGGGACCACCCCTCCTCCAGTCCTTGCGGGGTGTCCTAAGGGGAGACCTGGGCATGTGGCCAAGGACGGACTCCAGGGGAAGACAGCCTCAGATCCCAGTGCCTAGGTGCTTTGAGGGTCTGGGACAGTTGTGGGAGTCTGAGCCCACAATGAAAAGAGTTGCAGAGGAAGCAGGAAGGCAGAGGGGCCCAGATACTTGTAAGAGAGGAGCTGGCAGGGGGCCCAGGTGGAAGGAGGGTGCAGCATATTACATGGTGGGGGAGCTGGAGCCAATAACTGGAATAGCAGAGGGGGATAAGAGGTGGAGGGTCCCTGAGGAAGCAAGGAGACTCAGCTGGAGGGGCTCTACCTATCTAGAGAGCATGGCTGTGAAGAAAGGGCTGGGATTCCCACTTCCTCTCCATAAGCTGTGGGGAGAGAGAGGTTCCTAGGACATCCCTGGGAGATGAGGGAAATGTTGGGTGGGCTGCCAGGTCTCGAGGTCTCACCCCATTGGGGCAGACAATCTCCCCAACCTGGCCAGGAGGTGTAGTGAGGGAGCACTCTGTGGGGCTCCCAGGAACCCGAGGTGGAGGCTTTGGCTCAGTTGGTGAGGTATGAGTTCCTGCTTTCCTCCACACCTTGGGGGACGACAGCAGGACCCAGGCTCTGACTTACCCCTGCTCTGGGGGAGAATCCTCCCTTCCTGGGGGACCTGAGACCTGGTCTGATACTCCCCGCCCCCGAAGCAGGAGAGAGCAGCGTTGGCAGAGAAAGGAGAAAGGAACCCAGGTCCAGGCAGTGTTTCTGCCCCTGCCCTTCTCCCCTTCTGCCCTTCTTGGATGTACAGATGAAGGCGCCAGGGAGGAGGGGTATCGGACAGCTAGATAGCTCCTGATATTTGCAGGATGGGGGAGCAGCTGTTTGCACCACAAAACTTGATGTTAAAGTACATATCGTGGAGGAAAAGGGTCACACGTGAGATGCAGAAGTCAGGCAGGTTTTATTGGCCAAAAGGCACAGTTTGGGCCAAGCTGCATGCCTGGGAGGCCAAAGCTACTATTTCTTAGTCAGACTGGGAGTGCCAAGGTCAGGGGCTGAGCCTCCGCATGGCCCTGGATTGAGGAGGAGGTGCGTGTCACATCTCCAGTGGTTCCTGAACCCCTGAGGGAGGCAGGAGAGCTTGGCTGGCAGCAGCCTGGGGTACAGGGTGTCTCTGGCAGATGGCCCCTGGCAGGCCTAGGGTGTCCAAGCAAGGGGCCTGGAAGGGTTGTGCTGCACCACATGTAGGGTGAGCCCCCT